TGAGTACTCCAGTGAATCACCTGGACATTTTTGAAGATGCAATGTGTTTTGTTGTAGGATCTTGCTGTGCACAAATTGACTATTGTGTTTCTTGTTTTGCAACTTTAATTGCACTTTAAAAGGTCTTCGTTAACTATCAAGCACTTCATGATTTCCTGCTTGCTGAAAGGTGCTGTCAAAATGCAGGTTCTACAATGAGCTTGAGAGGCTCATACCTAAAGGTGAAAGTGTGTGTTTCAGTTCACTGGCAGGATCTGGGCATTGCTGGCTGGGCCCAGCATTTATTGCCTGTCCCTAGTTGCCTTTGAGAAGTTGGTGGCGAGCTGCCATCTTGAACAACTGGAGTTTATGTGCTGTAGGTAGGGCAGTGTCCTTAGGGAGGGAATTCTAGGAGTTTGACCCAGTGACACTGAAGGAACAGTGATATATTTCCAAGTCAGGTTGGTGAGTGGCTTGGAGGGGAATTTGCAGAGGGTGATGTTTCCATGTATCAGCTGCCCTTGCCCTGATATGGCCATGAGACAATGGAGCAGAATTGGGCCACTTGATCCATCAAGTCTGCTCCTCCATTCGACCATGGTTGATATGTTTCTCCACCCTATTCTTCTACCTTCCTGCGGTAACCTTTGTTCCTCTTACTAATCAGGAAGTTATCTATCTCCGTAATAAATACACTCAATGACTTGGCCTCCACAGCCCTCTGCAGCAATGAATTCCACAGATTCACCTCCCTCTGGCTGAAGAAATTCTTCCTCCATCTCAGTTCAAAAGGGTTGTCCCTTCACTTGGAGGCTGTACCCTTGGGTTGAAGTCTCTCCTACTGGTGGAAGCATCTTCTCCATATCCCCTCTATCCAGGTCTGTCAGTATTCGGTAAATTTCAATCTGATCTCACCCCCCCATTTCTTCTAAACTCCATCAAATACAGACCCACGGTCCTCAACTGCTCCTCTTTTGACAGCCCTTCATTCTTGTAAACCTCCCCTGGAGCTCCTCCAAGAGACTGATCGTGGGGGTGGGATCATGGACCTGAGAGTTCTTTCCGCATCTCATTTCTTAATAATTTATACTGAGCAGAATATTTCCAGTTGGCATATTGTTCAAATTTGCAAAAAATTATTCATACGATGTGGGCATTGCTAGTTAGGCCAGCATTTATTGTTCGACCATGGTTTGCCTTCGAAGGTGGTGATGAGCTGCCTTCTTGATCTGCTGCAGTTCCCCCCACCCCAGTGCCATAAGGGCATGGGTTCCTGGATTTTGGAGCATGTTGAGAGAGAACAGAGCAGGTTTCCTGGAACATTTGTAGCAGTTATGGATTTCAGTGAATGTTGAGGTTGGGACTGTTGGGAGCACTGCGTGTTAGGGGATGTTTGATAGTTATTGAAAATGAAGAAGCATTTGGATTGAGGAATTAGGGAGAAACAGTTTCCAATGGCAGCAGGGTCAGTGAACAGAGGATCCAGATTAAAACGTATCAGTAAAACAAAAATGGCCATGACTTGAGGGAAATCAATTGACACAGCGGGATGTGATTTGGAACACATTGTCTGAAAAGGCAATGGAAGCAGATTCAGTGATAATAAAAATAAGAACTAGATAAATTCTTGACCGTGGAGAAGATGCAGTGCCATGGGCAAAGAACAGTTGTGTGGAACCTTTTGAGATGAATTGTATAGCACTCCCAACGAGTCAGCACAGGCACAATTGGTCAAATGGCTTCTTTGTGCTGCATCCTTTCGCAGTTCGAATGAACTTTTCCACTTCTTTCCCCAATCTGCGTGAAGGTGTCTTATCCATGTTTTGCCTCTGGTTTGCCTGTTGTGACTGACCTTGATCAATTGATGTTTCCCGTGACAGTGTGACCAGGGACGGTGAGGAAGTCCCTCCAATCCGAATGCCAGAACTGATTCCAAGCCTGCAGCCTCTCGTATACTGGATGTCCAATTCCATAGAACTGCTGCACTTCATTCAACAGGAGGTTCCCAAACTCTTAACGTGGGATCAGCACACAGAGCAGTATGGTGAGTGAGCACATGTTAATGTAGTGTCACACCTGTCAGCAATTGTGAACCCACACAGTTGTGTAGGCTCATGGATATCTACATGCACAGTTACATGTACTCATGATTCCATATAACGTTTTGTGTACATGCATGATTACGTACACACAAGTTTAGGTTAAAGCACTATTACGTACATACACAGTTGCATACACACCCCTTTGTATACCCGTAGGGTGGTGGGCACAGATGGTATGTATATTGAGCGACTGCATGTGATGATGCTGGGTGTAGTGAGAAGACAGTAAATGCCAATGCTGCCCTGTTTTAGCATTTAACCAGGAGAAATTGGCCAAAAGTTTCTGAGTGATGACTCAATGTAACCAAAAATTACCCCCGTTCACCTTCTTCCCCTTCTCTTGTTTTCTCCTTTTCCCTCACAGTCTGTCTCCCTTTCACCCACTACTCCTTTACTCCCTCCCTCTTTCCTTTCTTTAATCTTTCATGGAATGTGGGTGTTTCTGGCAAGGCAAGTATTTGTTTCCTTCCCTAATTGTTCCTTGAACCCAATGGCTTGTTAGTGCATTTCAAAGAATTGTTAAAAGTCAACCACATTGCTATGTGTCTGGAATCATATGGGAGTCAGCCCAGGTAAGACCAGCGGATTTCACTCCCTAAAGCACTTTAGTGAAGCAGATGAGCTTGTATAACAATTGATGAGAGCTTTGCAGTCACCATCTCTGAGATTAGCTTTCAATTCCAGATGTATTTATTGAATTTAAATTCCATCAGCTTTTGTGGTGAGATTTGAACTGATGACCCAGAGCACTAGCTTGGGCCTCTGGAGTTCTCATCCAGCAATATCACCACGGTCTCCCCAGCTGCCTGGCTCCTGATCTCTCTCCCCCTCCCGTCTTCCTGTTCCTCTTTCACATTCTCTCTCTCTCTCCCCCTCCCCCTCTCCCTGTCTCTCTGTCTCTTTTTCTCTCTCTCTCCCCAAGCCCCCACCCTTCCCTGTTTTCTGTCTGAACTGAGGTAGAGGAACTGCCATCAACTGAATGAAGCAGCCATTGGGCTGCCCAGAGATCTCTGGAGGAAAGCAGGTTGTGGGCAGGGAGAATTATTGGGTGGATCCACCACCAGGCACAGGCACTGTGTGTGTTTAAACTGTCAGGCAGTGAGGTGAGCTGTCATGTGTCACTCTATTCACCCCAAGGTGATGATGGTCTTTGAGAATTTTTGTTGGAATGACTGAGTGGGCTGATTCTCAGATCAGTTAGAGTGTTCAAAGTGAATTGGGTGCAATGCGAATCCTCACACCACCTGGAACTTCAATCCATGCTGAGACCTTCTTCGAACAAGGGGAGTTGAAATGAGCAGCTCAGAAAGTCAGGGGACAGCTGGCTATTCCCACCTCCCATGAAGTCAGGCAGATTGGTTAGCAGGAGGGAGATGGGCAATCCGATCACAGTACTGTCCCTCTCCCATGTTACACTCAGCCTTCAGGAGTGACATTCTGAGGACAGCGGTACACAGACCGCACTTGTGTTCCCTCATGTATTCAAAATGAAGGAAGGATCTGTCACATTCTGTCACCCTGAGAGCTGGCTCTGAGGGAGCTGGATCAGTGTCAAGAACTCTCCACATGTGAATAGGGTGTGACTTGGTGACAGAATGCTAGACTCTTTGGAGTTATTTCAACATTGTATTGCACGCAAACCAGTTACTCTCAAATCACACTCTCTTGCACTTTTTCTCTTTCTCACTCACAATCACAAAAATCCCACACACTTAAATCATAAACAAAACATATACACTTGTGTAAAATACATATAAAGCAAAATACAAAATACACTAAGATACAAATCATGCAGATAGACATTTCCATGATCAATTTGATTGGATTTGCCATCTGAGCATGTGATTAGAACGGTGCCTGCATTGATATGAAAATGCTTGCTATTTATACTTTGATCGCTAAACTCCTCTTTGTCCTATTTCCATAGGTTGCCATTATGACCAGCTGTCGTCCACTAAGGCAGCGAGTGAAGAGGCCATGACAGTACTGGAGGAGGTCATCATGTTCACCTTTCAGCAGTCAGTCTATTACCTCACCAAGGTGGGTAGCCCCTCTACCAGACCAACCCCTCCTAAGGTAATGGCCCACAAGGTGGAGAGATGTGGGTCACAGTGGGAATATCATTCGGCTGTTAATCCAGAGGCCTAGGCTAACTTTCTGGGGACATGGTTTCAAATCCAACCATAGCCGCTGGTGGAATTCAAATTCACTGAATAAACCTGGAATTGAAAGTTAGTCTCGGGGATAGTGGCTATGAAGCTATCGTCGGTTGTTGTTAAAACCCATCTGGGCCACGAATGTCCTGTCAGGAAGGAGGCCTGCTCTCCCTACTTTATCTGGCCTATATGTCATTTCCAGACCTGCAGCGGGGTGGTTGACTTTTGTCTAGTTCAAGGGCAATTAAGGATAGGCAAACTTTGTCAGCAACATCTATATCCCATGAAAGAATAAATTAAAAGGAATGCATTTGGTATGGTGCGCCAGGAGTGACACCTATTGCAATCGTGTTCACACACGGAGAAACAAGATGAGGAGTGGGCAGTTTTCTGTTTGAGGCATTCACAATGACATCAGGCCCAGAGAAGGTTCTCTGTGACGCAGTGGGTAGCTCCTTCTCCTCTCAATGCGAAGGTTTGGGTTCAGGATCCTTCCAGAGACGAGAGCACAGAGCTCCAGGCAGCCACTCTGCACGTTGCACAGAGGGTGTGCTGTCCCTTTAGAAGTCCCATCTTCGCTTGAGGCATTAAACTGAGGCCCAGTGTGCAGTCTCAGGTGGAAATGAAAGATGTCATGACCACCAAGTGCAAAGGAATTATTTGCAGTGTCCTAGCTAATATTCGTGATCACTTCTACGTTCACATTGGGAGTGTCAAAGACAAGCTGGGGATATCATCTTAGAATTAGAGCTTTGCTCAAGTTGTGTTTGGGGTGTGCGCGCACGAGTGTGTGTGTTATGATGTATGAATGAATGAGTAAGAAGATCAGGTCTCTGTGCCTATGCCGAGTGTTGTTTTGTACGAGCTCTAGTCATCGCTGAGCAAGAGCTGCGTATTCAACCACAGAGGAATGCTGGGGTGCAGCCAGGGGAGGTCACAGGAATAAGAGGATTACAACGGACACCAGCTTAGAGACTGGCACAGACAACAAGTCCTGTGCTTTTCAATGAACTGAGAGCAATGGATGTTTCTGTCCCAGCGTGATAAACACGGAGAGATCCCGTTGACAGAAAGATGATTTATTAGCTTACAGTTCTCAGCAGCAGCTCAGAAAGAAACTGCTAGCGCCAGAAATGTCTTCTCCTTCTTCACACTGGCTTTCACTGCGGTACGGGGTCCCACACACACACACAGATACACTGACTTTCATTGCGGTACGGGGTCCCACACGCGCACACAGACACACTGACTTTCACTGCAGTACGGGGTCCCACACACACACGCTGACTCTCACTGGGGTACTGGGTTCCCCCTGTTCCCCCCGAACATGTGCACGCACATACACACAGGTAAGCACACACAGCTCCCACACACGCACACACACATACAGCTCCCACATGCACACCCACACATGCACACATACACGCAGAGCTCCCACATGCACACACACGTGCGTATACACACCACACACACCACACACCTCACACTCACACTCACTCTCACTCTCACTCTCACACACTCATACTCACACTTATTCACACACACTCACAGAGCTCCCACATGCACACTGACTCACTGAGGTACAATCCCTGGCATCGGCGTTTTAGCCATGAGCTACTGACTGAATTGAAGATGCATTTATTGCTTTTGACTTTCAATGGATTTTAAGCCCAGCTGTGTTCAGATTCACAAACAGGATTCCTTGCATGTCTGGTATTAAACCAGAAAGTCTGGATTCTCAGTGGTGGGATGTGTTTGACAGCTGAGGAAATCAGTCTGTAGCTGAAACGCCAACACCCAACACAGCAGAATTTCCCTGTACTGGATTGATTGAGGATTTGTGGCAGTGCTACTTATAAATAAACAAATGAGAGGCTTGTGTGCATTAATGTAAAAGTGCTTTCACTATTGAAACAGCATCACACATATCAGCTGAGCCCTGGCTTCTTCCGCTCTCTTGACAGCTGGAAAAATCTTTTCCACTGGCACCACAAAGTGGACAAAGTCTAACAAAGGCTCAATGTTCTGCTAGATGGGCTCTCACACACTGACTCTCACTGGGGTACGGTCCCACACACACTGACCCTCACTGGGGTACAGTCCCACACACACTGACTCTCACTGGGGCACGGGTCCCACACCGTGACTCTCACTGGGGTACGGTCCCACACACACTGACTCTCACTCGGGTACAGTCCCACACACACTGACCCTCACTGGGGTACAGTCCCACACACACTGACTCTCACTGGGGCACGGGTCCCACACCGTGACTCTCACTGGGGTACGGTCCCTCACACGCTGACTCTCACTGGGGTACAGTCCCACACACACTGACTCTCACTGGGGTACAGTCCCATACACACTGACCCTCACTGGGGTACAGTCCCACACACACTGACTCTCACTGGGGTACAGTCTGACACACACCTACCCACCCAAATACATGTTCCTGCGCACATGCACATGTTCTCTCACACACTCACCTATCTACCCACACATCTGGTTTCTGTGTTTCATATACACTTGTGTGCACCCACATGCATACCATATCATGTACACACTCTCTCAAACATGTCTGTGTCTTATGTACACACTGACCTATGCTGTGCATGACTCAATGTCACCTGAGACAACAAGGAGGTGTGTGTGGCTGGGGCTTCTCTTCCTTTCTTGGCATGTTATAATAATCTGAGCAGATCTGTATGTGGTTAGTTGTAAATGGATTGAGTTTTACTGCCTTAACCACACAACTGTAGAGACAAGACTGGTTCTGTCATTGCTCTGCTGCCTCAGGCTCCTAGCTAAAAGCTTACCTTGTGGAGATTTTTGTCCCATTCTATTCAAAACCCTTGGCTATTGGGCTTTAAATAGAAAGTAATGCATATACATTTGAACATTTCCTCTGTCCTGATATAGTACAGGGCTGAGATTGACAGACTCCCTGCAGTGTTGCTACCACTGTTGATTTCGATTTAAGCTGAACATTTATTCAGTGTTGTTTCATCAAGGTTTGTAATATTTTCCAATGAAGCAAAACCTGTGGTTTCACTGCGACATTCACCCAGCCTTTCTGCTGAAAAAGGATATGGATTTCAGTTCAGTTCAAAGTGATACTGTTTGTGAAGGACGTGTTATTGGTCTTGCATGGAATGCAGCATTGATTTGCCAGAATGAAACCTGGACACCAAAGGTTGACTCTTAAGCTTGGAACACATCACTGTTGGTTTTATTCCCTGACAGTTAGAGATTAAAGGAGATGAGATTGAAGTTTTCAGCATTGTAAAGGGGAACATTGTAAAGGGAAAGTGGATAGAAACTGTTTCTTCTGCCGAGGAGTCCATGACCAGTGGACAGAGCCTAAAAAATTTGAAGCCAGACCTTTCAGAATGTATGCGCACAAAGAGTTGCCAATGTGTGAATTCTTTTCTGCAATTGGCAATCGATAGCGATTTTTAACTCTGAGTTTGGTGGCTTTTTGTTAACCCCAAATATAACAGGCTATGACACAAAAGCATAGGGTTAGCTCACTGATTGGCCACCATTGCATTGAACAGCAGAATGGACAAGAAGGACCAAATGGCTCCTCTTGCTCGATCTGTTTTGTTCGTACAAGAAGGCCATTCACCCATCATGCCTGTGCTGGCTCTTTGAAAGAGTTATCCAATTCGTCACAGTGCCCTGCTCTTTCTCTCACTTGCTGTAAATGTTTCTACCCAGGTATTTATCGAATTTCATTTTCAAAATTCCTATTGGATCTGTTTCCATTGCTTTTCCAGGCATTTTCTCAAATGTAACAATTCACTGCCTGAAACATGTTTTGTCATGGCACCTCTGGCTAAACACCTTTTGAATTCCTCTTGTCACCAACCCTCCTTATTTTTATCTGTTCATGGGATGTGGGCATTGCCGGCTGGGCCAGCATTCATTACCTGATAGAGATGAAGTGTAGGCCAGACGAGGTAAGGATGGCAGATTTCACTCCCTTAAAGGACATTAGTGAACCGAATGAGTTTCTACCACAGTGGACAATGGTTACATCTAGGTGATAGGGGTTGTGGGTTTGGAAGGTGCTGTTGAAGGAGCCTTGGTGAATTACTGTAGTGCGTCTTGTAGATAGTATGCACTGCTGCCAATGTGCTCCGGTGTTGAAGCGTGTGAATGTTGAAGATGGATCGCAGGCCGGTCAATTAGGTTGTTTAGTCCTGTCTGGTGTTGAGCTGCTTGAATCTTGGTAGAACTGCACTCATCCAGAAAAAACAGTGAGGATTCCATTGCACTGTAAATGGTGGACAGGTACTGGGGAGTCATCAGATGAATAACTCACCATAGAATTCGCAGCCTTGGGTATGTTCTTTTAGCCACAGTATTTATATGGCTGGTGCGGTTTAGTTTCTGGTCAATGATAAGCCCCAGGATGTTGATAGTGGGGGATTCAGCGATGGTTATGCTTTAAGACCAGTAGATAAAGGAGCAGAATTAGGCCATTCGGCCCATTCAGTCTGCTCCACCATTCGATCATGGCTGATATGTTTCTTAATCCCATTTTCCTGCCTTCTCCCTGTAATAATCAAGAACATATTAATCTCTTTCTTAAATATATTCAATGACTTGGCTTCCACAGCCTTCTACAGCAGTGAATATCACAAATTCATCACCCTCTGGCTGAAGGAAATTTCTCCTCATCTCAGTTCCAAAGGGTTTCCCTTCACTCTCGGTGCCCTCGGGTCCTGTTCTCTCTTAGTGGAAACATTTTCTCCACATCCACTCTGTCCAGGCCTCTCAATATTCTGTAAGTTTCAGTCAGATCCCCCTCATCCTTCTAAACTCCACGGCGTACAGGCCCAGAGTCCTCAACTGCTCCTCAAATGACAAGCCCTTCATCCCTGCGATCATTCTTGTAAACCTCCTCCAGACCCCCTCCAACATGAGCACATCCTTCCTCAATTACAGGGCCCAAAACTGCTCACAATATTCCAGATGCAGTTCTGACCAGAGCCTTATGCAGCCAGAAGTACATTCCCTGCTCGTGTATTCTAGCCCTCTTGAAATGAATGCTTACATTGCATTTGCCTTCCTAACTGCCAACAAAACCTTTATGTTAACCTTAAGAGAATCCTGAATTTGGGCTCCTAAGTCTCTTTGTGGTTCAGATATCCGAAGGCTGTCACTATTTAGAAAATAGTTTATGCCTCTATTCTTTCTACCACAGTGCATAACTCACGCTCTCCTACATTGTATTCTATCTGCCACTTCTTTGCCCACTTTCCTAACCCGTTCAAGTCCTTTTGCAGCCTCCATGTTTCCTCAACACTACCTGCCCCTCCACTTGTCTTTGTCATCTGCAAACTTTACTACAATGTCCTCAGTTCCTTTATCCAGATTGTTAATGCATAACTGAATAGTTGTGGTTATATATCTTAAAAATGCTTGCAATCTTCTTTTATGTGACTTGCTAGTTTACTCTCATATTTCATCTTCTCTCCCCTCATTGTATTTTTTTTGAGTTATCCACTGCTGGTTTTTAAAGACTTCCCAACCCTCTGTCTTCACACTGGTCTTAACCAAATTGTATGTTTTTCCTTTTGCTTTTATGCTGCCCGACTTCCTTTGTCAGCCATGGTTGCCTCGTCCTCCCATTAGTATATTTCTTCTTCCTTGGGATGAATTTTTGCTGTGCCTCCTGAATTACCCACAGAAAGCCCGGTCATAGTTGTTGCACCATCTTCCCTGCTAGGCTCCCCTTCATTCTCTGCTCTAAGGAGAACAATTCTACCTTCTGCAACCTCTTCAAATTAACTGAAGCCCTCCATCCTTGGGACCATTCCAGAAATTCTCCTGCAAACATTCTCTGTTAACAGTCAAGTGCCCTGGCTGCGTTGACCTTCACCTTTCATTTGCCCCTGTCTTTGAATGGGTAGCTATCACTGGGTTACCAGCTGCAGTCCAACTGGCTATTGCTTATGTAAAAAAACCAAACAACAACAGCAGACCTCCAAGCTGAGCAGATGTCAGTGCTGCACAGCAAGCCTGTGTCGATAACGTAACAATACCTGCCTAAAACCACAGGAGATACCCTCTGCTTCTCTTGGCTGGGACACTGAATGGTTATATTCATGGAAATATCTTGCTGATGTCATCAGTGTGGCATAATTTAGCTTTAGAGCTAGGGAGCATTGTGGGACAATGAAGGGAACTTTACTCTCTATTTAAAACCCCATGCTGTACCTGCCCTGGGAATGTTTGATAGGACATTGCATGCTAAATTGGGATTGGCCAATTACCCATAACTGGTATTCTTCACTGTAATGAACACAGAAAAGGCTATAGTAATATTAACCAGCCTGGTATGTTTATTATTGACCCCTGCAGACCCTGTACACCGTCCTGCCTGGGATGTTGGACAGCAATCCCTTTACAGCTGAGACAGCGCAGCTCAGTATTCCCAGAGGAGTTAAGGATGTCTTGGATATCTTCCAGGGAACGTTGAACCTGTTGAAACAGTATCGAGTTCACCCTGAGCTTGCCTCTCAGCTCTTTGCTTATCTCTTCTTCTTCACCAATGCATCGCTCTTCAATGCTCTCATGGAACGAGGTGAGTGTAGCCAGTAACTTGTGGACCCACTGCCCAAATTTGGACATTTTTTATGTCAGTCAGTTTGTGACTCCCAGGCATCTATTATTCTATATATAAGCTCCTCCCAAGCCCCTCAATTAGGTTTCATTCTGTAACTTACTCGTGGGTATCTGTTAATCTATACATAAACCACACCAAACCCCTCAATTAGATTGAAGTCTGTTACTCACTCCCGGAATCTATTATTCTATATATAAACCACCCCGGACCCCTCGATTAGATTCCAATCTGTAACTCACTCCCGGCTATCTATTAATCTATGTATAACTCCCCCCGAATCCTTCGATTTGATTCTAGACTGAACTAAAATGTCAGTGTTGTAATGATAATCCTGTGTTTGGGCTGGACGATTGGAATGGATTCCTCAATTCTGCGTGGACTCCCTCTGGGTGAGGAAGCCGTCCCATTCTGATGGTGGGAACAACGTGCCTCTGTGGCCAGGGTCCACACCTCAGTGTAGCTTGGACTCCCATCCTGTCCTGTTCTGTTGGTGGTGACCCCCACTTCAGCCCTCACAGCTGGAATCTTTCACTCTACTGTTGAGAAGCTGCTTTTCTCGTGTGGCTGAGAAACCCCTCACTTTGCTTGTAGGTCTCTTCCTTACTGTGTGTTTTTGTACCTTCCAGGATCAGGAGGAGGTTTTTACCAGTGGACGAAAGGAGTGCAGATCCGAGCCAACCTGGACTTGCTGCTTGACTGGATTCAAGGCATTGGACTCGGTGAGCAGGCTGCTGAACTCTTCCTCAAGTTTTCGACAGCTGTTAACCTGCTTGCCACTCCCAAGGAGACTCTCCTGCAGGTAAGCAACATCATTGCTCATGAACGAACCCTTTGTTGTATTGGGAAACCCCAGATAGCAGCGAGGCCAATGTTAATTCGACAATCCAAAGTCTGCCAATGGCAGGAGGATTGAGAAAGCTGACATCCTGCACAAAAGAGATTCAGACCAATCGTAACTAATTTGGCTTCCTGTTAGTTTTGTGAGTTCAGTTATTTTTCACATTCCCTGCCAAATTCTGATCTTCTTTCCTGGATTACATAGAACTTTAACAAAGAAATTTTTTCTTTTAATTTTGTTGGATGTGGATATCTCTGGCAAGGCCAGTATTCATTACCCTTCCCTGGTAAAGTGGTTTGCTCGGCCATCTCAGAGGGCAGGAGTCACATGTAAGCCAGACCGGTAAGGACAACCGATTTCATTCCCATAAGGAAATGAGTGAACTAATAGTGACCATGCTCACCATAAGCTAGCTTTTCATTCCAGGTTTCATTGAATTCAGATAGGCCCAGAACATTAGCCTGGGTCTCTGCATTACCAACCCAGTGACTTTCCCACTGTGCCATGGCTTTCTCCCCCCATCATATCTTATTTCTTATCCTGAACATGAGCATTATTTTAATCCCTTGTAACTTCTGTGTTCCTGTCCCCTTTTATGAACGTACAAACAAGAGGATTAGGGCAGCACGGTGGCTCAGTGGTTAGCTCTGCTGCCTCACAGAGCCAGGGACCCGGGTTCAATTCCACCCTCCGGCGACTGTCTGTGTGGAGTTTGCACATTCTACTCTGTGTGGGTTTCCTTCTGGGTACTTCTGTTTCCTCCCACCGTCACAAAGATATGCAAGTTCAGTGGATTGTTAAATTGCCTATAGTGTCCAGGGATGTGCAGGCTAGAGGGTTAGCCATGGAAATGCAGTGTTACAGAGATAGGGTAAGGGTTGGGTCTGGGTGGGAGGTTGTTCGGATGGTCGGTGTGGACTCAATGGGCTGAATGGTCTACTTCCACACTGTAGGGATTCTCTGATTCTAAGCGTGGACCATTTGGCCCCTCCCATCTACTTTACCATTCAAAGGCTCAACTCTACTTTCCTACATACAGCTAGACCCTTTGGTCCCCTCGTTAGTCAAGAATCCATCTAACTCTGCCTTCAAAATTTTAAATGACCCAGTGTCTGCCGCTTTCTGGGAAAGAGAATTCCAAAGACCTTCATCCTTCTGAGGGAAACAACTTCTCCTCATCCCTGTCTTAATTAGGAAAGGCTTTATTTTTAAACAGTGTCCCCCAATTCTAATCTCTCCCACAAGAGAAAAGATCCTTTCAGCATACACCCTGCTCATTCCTCTCAGGATATTATATAAACAGCTCTTTGCCTAAGACCGAAAGTAGTATCTGTTTGGTCTGAATTATAAGGCTAACCATTTTTTTTAAAAAACTGGGTGTATCTCAACGCTGGCTTTTGTTGTCAGCCACCTTTTCCAACCAGTTTGTGATTGTTGACAGAAATTCTGCTTCTGTCACTAACTCTGGGACTGAATTTGACAGCCTCACAATGCTCTGTATAAGAGAGTTTCACCTACTCTTCGTACAAACCTTTTAGATTTAAGCTTATACAAATGTCCCCTTGTTCTAGACTTCTCAGTAACTAAAATAGTTTGTTAGCCGCTGGCATAATGTTTAGAGATGCCTGCGCCAAGTTATCATTTAATCTTATGACGAAAGCAACTTTGGTTTTTCCGACTCTTTCTTTGTATTGCATTTCCTTGTACCAGGCAGCTTCCTGATGATCTGTGCTGTCTCATAATGACTGTCTCAACATCCTTCCTGGAGTGTGGAGCCCAATCATCCAACTGTAGTCTTGTGAATCATTTGACTTTTATATCCTGACTATTAATCCTTCATCTTTCGCCATAGCATTTTTATCAGCTTATCCAGTTGAAGTTCTGCTTTTTGTGTCTTGTCAAGAATTATAGAATCATAGAATCCGTACAGTGTGGAAGCAGGCCCTTCGGCCCAACAAGTCCACACCGAACCTCAGAGCATCCCACCCAGACCCATCCCACTGTAACCCACCTAATCTACACCTCCCTGAGCACTATGGGCAATTTAGCATGGCCAATCCACCTAACCTGCACATCTTTGGACTGTGGGAGGAAACCGGAGCACCCGGAAGAAACCCACACAGACACGGGGAGAATGTGCAAACTCCACACAGACAGTCGCCCGAGGCTGGAATCGAACCCGGGTCCCTGGCACTGTGAGGCAGCAGTGCTAACCGCGGAGCCACCGTGTCGTCCCGGTGTTTTCTCAATGTTTTCTCAATGTTTTCTCAAATCTCTTGTACATCACCTTACTGCTTCCTATTCAAGGTATCATTATTATTTTTCATTTGGCAAGATGTTCCATCATATTTATGCTCACATAAAATTCCATCTGCCATTGTATTGCCCAGCCAATGTCTTGTCACCATCCTCCTGCAGCTTCTTTAGGTTTGATCTCTGCATTCCCTATTTTAGTATTGCGAGCAAGTTAAAGAATACAGCCTTAAATGTTAACCAGACTGGGATCGTGCAGGTTCACTTGGCCTCCCTTTCTGAATATGGGCTTTCTCTGACCTCTTTCGACTTCTTTGGCATATTCTCACTCTCTGTGAGAAGGTAGAGGATAGTTGTTAGGACCTCTCTGAGTTGCTGCTTGAAGGTAGAGTGAGTCACAGCTGGTGGTCTCAGCCAGCCCTAGTCTCCCTGTTCTAGTCTGGACATGGTCCCTGGTCTCCCTGATCTCTGAGGAATGAGCTAATCCAGGCTGCTGGGAAATTCCTGAGTAAAGCAGTAAGGTGTAGAAAGCTGTATATTGCTTCACTGAGTATATGTTGGCTAACTAAAACCTTACAGTTTCCACTCTCCTCCTCTGCAATGCCCTCTAACAATTTCGGCCTCGTATGTTTTGTTTCTCACTGAATTTTCATAAAAAGCCTTTTCTCTGGGATAATGAGGCCTGTTTGGTGACGTCTGTGTCTCGGTATCTCCTCTTCAAATCGGCTTCACTGTAATCGCTCCTGTTTGCATCAGCACTTTTGAGACCTCCTGAGGGTTCAGAATAGGGACACTCGGAGTGGAATGGGGCAGGGGCTAAATAGTGAGATAACAAGGTGTAGAGCTGGATGAACACAGCAGGCCAAGCAGCATCAGAGGAGCAGCAAAGCTGACGTTTCAGGCCGAGACCCTTCTTCAGAAATGGGGGAGGGGATGGGGGTTCTGAAATAAATAGGGAGAGCGGGGAGGCGGATAGGAGATGGATAGAGGAGAAGATTGGTGGAGAGGAGACAGACAGGTCAACGAGGTGGGGATGGAGCCAGTAAAGGTGAGTGTAGGTGGGGAGTTAGGGGATAGGTCAGTCCAGGGAAGACGGACAGATCAAGGGGGCGAGATGAGGCTAGTAGGTAGGAGATGGGGGTGGGGCTTGAGGTGGGAGGAGGGGATTTGTGGGAGGAAGGACAGGTTAGGGAGGCGGGGACAAGCTGGGCTGGTTTTGGAATGCGGTCGGGGGAGGGGAGATTTTGAATCCTGTGAAGTCCACATTGATACCATTGGGCTGCAGGGTTCCCAAGCGGAATATGAGTTGCTGTTCCTGCAACCTTCGGGTGGCATCGTTGTGGCACTGCAGGAGGCCCAGGATGGACATGTCGTCTGAGGAATGGGAGAGGGAGTTGAAATGGTTCGCAACTGGGAGGTGCAGTTGTTTAGTGCGAACCGAGCGTAGGTGTTCCGCAAAGCGGTCCTCAAGCCTCTGCTTGGTTTCCCCGATGTAGAGGAGGCCACAACAGGAACAGCGGATGCAGTATATCACACTAGCAGATGTGCAGGTGAACATCTGCTTGATGTGGAAGGTTTTCTTGGAGCCTGGGATGAGGGTGAGGGGGGAGGTGTAGGGGCAGGTGTAGCACTTCCTGCGGTTGCAGGGAAAAGTGCCGGGGTTGGTGGGACTGGTGGGGAGTGTGGAGCGGATAAGGGAGTCACGGAGAGAGTGGTCCCTCCGGAAAGCAGACCCGGAGGTTGGTGGGGTGGTACGTGAGGACGAGGGGGATTCTGTTTTGGTTGTTATTGCAGGGAGTGGGTGTGAGGGATGAGTTGCGGGAAATGTGGAAGACACAGTCGAGGGCGTTCTCGACCATTGAGGGGGGGATGTTGTGGTCCTTGAAAAACGAGGACATCTGAGATGTTCGGGAGTGGAATGCCTCATCCTGGGAGCAGATGCAGCGGAGGCGAAGGAATTGGGAATAGGGGATGGCATTTTTGCAGGAAGGTGGATGGGAGGAGGTGTATTCTAGGTAACTATTTTTGTATTTTTGTGACGTATTTTTGTGTGAGCAAAGTTCAGATTTATGTCTTACCTGTGAGTTACCGGGGTCGATATTTTGACGGTGTAAGGACGTTTGTTGGCGTGAAGCCAAGGAGCCAAAAGGCCTTATTCAGTGCTAGGGGTATCTCTGCACCCCCATTTCTGCACTGCGTTGTGAATTTCTGTTAGGCAGCTGTTAACCTGTTTATTTTAAACACTTGCGGATTCTTTAGAAGCTTGTCAGTTCATCGTGCAGGAATTTCCACTCCACTGTGCTGCAGTTCGAAGACTCGCTGAGCGATTAGGATTTGTGAAGGGCCACTTGGAGATCAGGAGCAGCTGCATCTCTGAGGAACGCCATTCCTATTCCTGCTTATTCCCCATGACCCCTTGTCTGTTCTTTATATTTATTTACCCACAGCACGAGGGCATCTCTGGCTGGGCCAGCATTTATTGCTCGTCACTAATTGCCTAGAGGGCAGTTAAAAGTCAACCACATTGCTATGGGTCTGCAGTCACATGTAGGCCAGACCAAGTAAGGATGGCAGTTTCCTTCCCTAAAGGGCATTAGTGAACTGGATGGGTTTTTCCAACAATCGGCTATGGATTCCGGATCATCATTACACTCTTAGTCCCAGATTTTTATTATTGAATTCAAATTCCACCATCTGCTGTGGTGGGA